ACATTTATAAACAATATTTTCCAAAAAATATTGAATGAGCAGTTTCTTCATTTAATTCATTTCTTCCCTCCTCAGCGAACTTGTATTATATTACGAATAACAGCAACAATCTCCCTACTTTCTTCATTTTGAGAGTTCCTTAGTTCTGTATCCGCTGCTGTTGGCGAACATTATCGAAACGGTAAAAATTAAGTCCTTTTCAGGCCGACATCTTTCATGCTTACCACATAGCTATTGAACACGGAATTCCAGCCGACCATATCATCACCATGGCGTACGATGATATTGCTTACAACCCCGCGTAAGTTTCGTTGATTTTTCTCCCTGTTATTTATTTTTTACAAACCCTCTATAGCATACATGCTATGCTAGCGAAAATGGCACTGTGGTAAGTCATAGCTTAGCACCAACAGCTTATGCCATTCTCAACGTCGAGCTGTGCTATTCTCAGGTTCAACATCGAAAGCTTGATCCACCAGTAGGACAGCCAATCCTTTCTACGATTCGCTTATTCGTTTCGATGGTAAACTGGCATTGGAACATGTTGGGGATGAAAACGCCATCAGCTTGCTTCTAAGCCACCCTCGAAAGAGAAAGTCACTCCTGCTATATGGATTATTTCGAGTGCTTCCGGCTCCCAAAAAAATAATTGCTGGAAGGAGTTTTGACCTTTACGTACGCCAAATTCAGCAGCTGAGCAGGAATTTTTTTGGAACGAATTTTGTGAAATTTTGGCAAGAGTAGAAAACTGTATATAAAACTACGTTGTCACCTAGATGAATCATTATGATGCTATAAAAAATAAATTAATTCACCGATTCGCCCAAGAAAATTTACAGTAATAATCAAACTGAATTGTATTAATCATTCCTGCTAAAAAAACCTCTGCTCATTTCTATACAAAATTTGATGGAACGTTGAATACTGTCACACTGGCAAAAGTAACACTTGGCATACATTGGCCTTGCCGAACAGCGGTGAACTAATGGCGCCAAAAATGTCGGTCAACGATTTAGCAAATCGCCAGAAAACTAGTGGTTAAATGAGTGGATGGAAACTGGATTGGTTATAGAAAGCTAGTAGATCTTGAGTGTGCTGACGCTTTAGTCTCAGCATCGAAGGGTGCGTGTCGAAAAGCGAAACAAAGTTGGCCACCACTTTTATCGAGCACTAGTGATATTTCACTGCACCTCCTGGAAACGAAGTAACGCACCGCAGGAGATTTGCCAGCTACTGGCTGAGCTCCTGGATGTAATGTATTTCAGGAACCCATATCCTGGCGAGGTATTCAATAGGCCGTTTGGACCAAATGTTTATCCTGGTGTCGTTATTGACTATAAAGGCGATGATGTTACACCCAGTAATGTGATTGCTGTCTTAACTGGTAACTCGAGTGCAGTAAAGGGTGGCAATGGTCGAGTGGTGGAAAGCACAGTCGAGGACAACATCTTCGTGTATTTCGCTGATCATGGTGCTACGGGCATAATTGCTATAATCGATGACGAGGTAAGCTTCATCATACAATAAACTTTATTAAATATACAGTTAATCATTATGGAAGTAGGTCGCAGTAATTGTAAGGCACTAGAGCATTCAAAATTTTTTTTATCAAACGGAAAAGAGAAGGATGGAAGAAAGAAGACGCAGGAAAGGGATAAGCTTTAATAAAAAAAAAGAGGGACTCCTTCAAATACAGCACGTAATTTTGTGCAAAAATTAACGGAGACTGGGATGCAATAGGCTAGCCAGTGCGAGCATGTATTTATGTTCAGCTTTTTACGCAGTTTTCACTCAGAAGTGACTGCATGTTGTAGCAAAGGACCGCCCCCATCTTCTTCTAAAATCCAGTTCATTTACATAATTGGACTTTTTGACGAACGACCGCTCTAGCAACATTTCTACTTTTCAGTGAAGAACTGAAATTTTTGCTTTTTCAAAAATCTGCATCTTTCATTTTTTCAAAAAGCGAACGTTTATCGGAAAAACAATCGGACTTCGTGCAGAAAACTGATATTCATGTACCTGAAGGTCCAAGCGGTCCTGTAATGCAACGTTTTCATCCCAACCGACGCCCTTTCTCCTGCGTGCCGGAAGAGTCAAAGCACGGCCAATATGAGCCAAAGTTTTAGGCTACAGCGCCGGGGTCATTCCTGCCGTTAACGATCTGCGAGTTCGATGCAAAAACGCATGATCGCACCGGCTAACCTGGTGCAATCATGCGTTTTTGCACTATTTCGTGCTGCACCAAGGTAGCAAAGAATCACAGTAGCTAGAATTTGTGACGTACTGGCCTTAGAAGTTCAAGAAATTAACTGTGCAACTACTTGGCATGTTATTTCTAGATCCCAACTTCAGTTACCTGAGAAATGCAAGGTTGAAAAAAACGCCACTAGAAGAGTTGAATTTGAAATCTTTTAGTCGCACGTCAGTAAGAAACATTCCCTGAAAATTCCAGCATTGCAGCTTTTCTCATACCCGAATTAGCAGTTTTCCTGCCAAAACTTTCACATACCCTATGTGAGACATTGAGGTTCTAAGGAGATGAATTTGAAGGTTTTTGGTGAATAGGGGACATTACCCTAAAGTTCCAGCCTTCTAGCTTTTCTCATTCCCTAGTTAGTAATTTTCCCACCAAAATTTTCATGCACTCGCGCGCGAGGCCCAGAAGTGCGCGAGGGTTGGTGCTACGGTCCTGGGGTGGCACTTGGCCGAGGAACCAACTGGCAGAATTTTGGCGCCGGAGCTCGCTTGGTTGCCGACTTGAAATACCCGAAGAGACAAACACACACACACATACACAAACATACACATACAGGGTTGCTGCAATATGCGTTTTTGCAATTTACGTATATGCAAAACGCAACAAAAGGAGATGCAAAGTTGTTTCTTTTTCATGGTTTCACGCCTTCGAAAACCGATACTAAAATAAGTTTTTACATCGTTACTTCTAATGCTGCAGTTCATAGCGCCTTTCTCCAACGGGGCGGATTGTAGTCTTTCCAATTCCCTGGCGGTCAATCTGCTGGCGATCCTGGCACATGTTTTATCTCATAAAGAAATTACCCGCTCATCCCGACAAAATCACTTTGGAAATATAAGTATCACTTCCTTTACTGGGTAAGCAGAAATTATTCAATTAACAAAGCACGAGTTCAGCTCCCGGTATTCTTCTGCTTTAAAATATTTTCACCGCTTGATATCTGTATTCGCAACACCTTAGCAGTCATCTCCTTGCTCTGCTAAAGCAGTACATTTGGACTGAGTTTTTCTTTTTTTTTTTGGTTAGCCAGACCAATATGTTACTGAGAAATAGGTAAAAGACGGAATGGGAGTCAAATTTGGCGTAATAGTGACAAGTTAAAAACATGCCTGACGCAGCAGCACTCAAAAAATCCACTTATTTCGGGGCTATATATTTTGGGACATGCTGCCCTCTTTTTTATCTCTCCGAGCCCCTACTGCACTGAATATTTCGATTTAGCTAACCGCTAAACAACTCAATGATGCTCTTCGAACAATGCATGCGCGAAAGCGATATCATCAGACTGTGCTGTATATCGAAGCATGCGAAAGTGGTTCCATGTTTGACGGCTTACTTCGCGATAACATCAATGGTACAACATTTTCTTTCTTTATTTTCAGAATGCACCTACTTCACATGCTTATTCTTTCACATTCACATTTTATTCAGTTGCCAAGCAGGACACATTTATGCTTATAAAGTGAGTAAAAGAGAGAATTTGGAGAAAATAGAAATTAGCAGCGTGCGTCAGATAGCTTTGCGAACACTGCTGCGACGGTAATTCCTAACAACAATACTTCCGCAAAGTCAATATTTTGTTCATGCACTGTAAGAAAAAATAAAAACCAAAAAAAAAAAAACTTTGCTCAATAGACTGTAGGCTCGTACCCCAGAGCAAAACTGAAACTGATTCAAACGGCTTCATGGCAATGCCATCATCTCTGCTTAAATTCTAGAGATTTCGAAATGAGTCAGGTAAGTGTACTATTGCTTTTTGTTACAGTATATGCAGTAACAGCAGCAAATTCAACGCAGAGTTCGTGG